ATCGCTGTGACGAGAGTTTACGAACCATCTGATGAGCATCTCCTGTTCGCGGAACACGGAGCGCTCATAGCGGAGTGGAAAACCTAAATCTTTAGGGAGGGTACCCCGGGTGCAATTTGCTTCCGCCGATAATCGCGGCGCATTTGCGCGTTACCGTGTACCCGATAACGTTAACGAGGTTGTCGCAGGTTCACGCACGTCGTGCCTAAGTAAATTGGCGGGCAAACGTTCGGCAAGCCCCGGCAAACTGGCCAATTCGATTGCGGGACACGTAGCGAGGAGTTCCGGAGCGCGGAATCGATAATCGAGCTGGGAGCACGTCGAATCCGGTGCACCTCATTCGCGATTTTATTTATTTATTTATTTATTATACTCTTAAATATCCATTAGCCTACAAAAGAAAATGTAATGATATTTTTACAAGCGAGGTAGGGCGCTTATAGATAAAAAAATATATAGTATGTAATATAGAAATACGCATAGAACGAAATTTAATTGATATTGAGACTTATAATTTAATTATAAAATTTTAATAACAAAAAATTCAAGCTTCGTATATTCATTAGATAGCATGCAAATTCTATTAATCGGGTCAGCAGAGAGAAGTCGAGAGATAGATGAGAGAAGGGAGGTGATTTATTAAAAGCACATCAAGTTATGGTGACATCCATACGAGGAACTGATACTATTAAATATTTTAGAAAAAGTATTAATTTATTTTTTTAACTATCTTTTGTCTCGGTATATTTCATCGCTTGTTCCGACTATTAAAAGCGAGAACATTTGAAATGCGCAAAAATAATACCGCAACAGTTTTCCATAAACATTGCCAGTATTTTTATTTTACACAATACCAGCGTTACATTCTTTCGCGATGAAAGAGTGAAATTTCCCAGTGAAACGAACGTATGTTGTGTAGAAAAAGCTTTATTTCTATAAAGGCAGAGGATGCTTCAAACTTTCGAGCGGCAAGCGTATATCATCGGTGTCAGTACAGTAACCATCAATGTGTTTCGGGTTGGCAAAAAAATATTCCCGCTGCGGAAGCAGTTCTGAAGAACTTTTTAAATCACGATTTAACCCAAATAAAAAGCACAGCACGCGATACAACGAGCGAACGGGTATTATTTGATTCGTTTTTTCTTTGAAACCCTCGTCGAGTCTATTAGCGATTGTATTCCTTCGAATACAAGAAAACGGGAAGAAAAGGAACGATGGCTGTTCGTAAAACATACCGAGCAACAAGGCTACAACGCGGCTTAGGGAGTTAAATTGCGAATGTGATCGCGGAACAGAGAAAGAGTTCACGGAATCACATTGACCCACATCCTTTCCTTCTCACCCTTTTGTTCACGGTCGGGGCGCGCATTCCACCGACTGTGGCCACCACACGCGAGCGCTCGCGTGCTAGCGGATACACAAACACGTGGCCACGGAGGATAGGAGAGGTTCTATTAGCCGCACAGGTACGTACACGTACATTCCTGCGGTTTCAGCAACATAACCGGATTACACTGGTCGCATAGGTGAATTAGCAGGCAAATGTTCGGTAAATTCGTTCGTTGGTCTGGTTTCGACGCATCTGTGGTATCGATGCCCACTTTATTCGTTTCGATAAACAACGAGCGGAAAATTTGTTTGCGTTTAGAAAGAAGGGGCGACTTTAACTCACACGGAGAAACGACACGATTCTGTTGCTTCAAGTTATTACGGTAGAACACATCAGAAATAGATCACCAAACTTTGATACCACATTTTACCTCTGAAGATAAACAAAAAGTTATGTAAACGTAAGTTTAGAAATTCTTTCTTTCGATACGAACGCTTTCAGAAACTTTACAAGATGATTAAATTAACGTCACATTATCGAATTCATATAAAAATTAAAGTGGAGAAATAATAGGTAGAAAGTGTTCAATTTTTGTAGGGAAAAGTTTTTACAATAATAATTGCTCGAATTACTACCATTTGTAAGTAAACGTGCCTCTATTTATACTTCTATAATTCTTTAATTCTTTCTTTCAGGCCTCCACGAGTTGTTAGATCTGTTGACACAGCGTTGTAGAATATAATCAAGAGGTGTAATGTTTTCTGCCAAATACACGCATATTTACTTCTCAATGGCAGTAATTTCTTGCAAAAATGCTTTCCGATCAATGGAACCTGAATAGAAAGATTAATGGCGGATAATAATAGAAATCCTAGCTTACAAGGTAGATCATACCACATTCAACGTGTCTCAGACAGTATTATTTTCGTTTGTAAATTATTATTTTTGCATACCATTGTAGAGAAGCGCTCGTAAGCTATTCTCCAGTTAATTTCTCCCTCTGTAGGAAGCGAAACCTTCTATTTTTTTGTTTTATCTTGGCGAGAACAGCCTTCTTTCTCATTTCGCTTTAAATTGCACTTCACCATGTTACATGCAGTAGGTTTCTTTGTCTAAAATATTTCTGCTATTCCGAACAATGTGAAACTATATTCCAAGGAAGGTTATACGGTTCTAAGAGCTTCGTTATGCGATGGTAGCAATAACTTCTTTGTCGGAAGAAGAACCGTGGAGATTGTACCTTGAATATTTTGATATCGCGTTATACTTCATTTTCACTGCAACAATCGAAATAAATTTAACGAAATTCTTAATGAAAAAATCCTTTCACAAGATCGTATGGATCACTTACACATTGTTTAATAATCAATTATAATCAAACGAGTAACATGGCACGAATAAATAAGAGTTCAGATACGTTTTTTGCATTGGTAGCATATAATATCCTAAAAACAAATTGATAGTGAACTAGTCCTAGCACTGTATTGTCTTTAGAACCAGTTACAGTAGCAGTCTTTAGAATTTCTGTAGGAATCATTACTGTTCTTTCTACTCTATAATTACCAATCGCCACTACTCATGAAATTGATGGCCGCTAAGCAGCCCAACGACGACGTCGCGAAGTTACCGTTCCGAAAATTAGAACAGTAACTTCCCAGGACAGTCGTGCATGAAAAGTTTCAGGCCAAAGTCTCATTAAACTTTATCTCGCTTGACTCACCGTTTCTTCGAGTTGGTTAAAGGAATTCCACCCAGTGTTCTTCCCTTCTCTTAGCTGGGTCGCTGGCACGGGCTATGACACATGAGACTGTTTCGCACCTGCGGCACTACGAACGTCACTTAAAATTCCCCGACGCACTTCTTTCGGCTAGAATGCATCACCGTAAGATGGCACTGGAACGGAGCAATTTGTCGGCGATCTGAACGAGAACGGAATTCGTGAACGAAATTTCTCCACACGCTGGGAAGCTTCGATATTTCATGAACGCGAAAACGAAATTTTATAAGTGGAAAGAAATATCGAGATTGATATTTCATTGTTGCAGAAAAGTGCGATACAGTATCGTTCGATTAACCAAAATAATTCTCTACGAATTACGAAAATTAAATCATCCCCATCGCGGTTTATGTTTTCTCAGTTCACAATGGAAGACGCGTTCGAGTTCAATATTTAGGAAATACATTGGAATTTTTGTACAGTGCTGCTAGAATTAAATTACAGGCTGTAGTTTTGTGAATTTTGTTCATAGTATTTTGGACGAAGTGCAAATGCACTGGGACACTTGGGTAAAAAAATCACATCACAGGATAATAGAGGCTATTAAACTATATGTACAGAATTTTCTTCTACGATTTTTTTCCTATTGTTAGAACAGAGAGATAGCCTGACCCAGTTACTATAATAGAAGTACCCTCTCTAGCGCAAGGAATATCGTTTATTTACTAGTGCAAGAGTTCTCCAAGCATTTAATTTGGTCAAAGGCTACCTTTAAATAATTTTTTTTACTGAGTAAAATATTCGATTGGTTGAAACTTAAAGAAGCAACTTAATTTCGAATCAATTGAAATGAATTTTTTATTATAGAATCAGATTATCAAATTGTTTCTACGACCAATAATAATTACTTTTCTCCTACATGTTCAGCAAAAACATTTTTCACTTCGCACAGACACGTCTTAGAGGATAAGTAAATAATTAAATCGTGGATTCCAAGGGATCTGGATGTTTTTTTCCCTACTATCTCGAGAAACCGGAAATCGGGCGTTCCGAACTAGTTGTCTTCTGTCGCGGAAAGAATTCCCGACGGAGATTTTCGCGAATTTAACCGGCGCGCCAACGTAGATTACCAAGTGGAGGAAAAATCCCGGTATCAAAGGAGAAACGGAGTTTTCATCCCCTAGAGCTTTCCGCCCCTTTTACGCCCCGCGTAAAAGTCGGCTCAGACGCGCATAACGTGTAATATCGTGCAGCTATTTCTACTGGCCACTGACAAAGTCACTGATTTTTGACCTGGGATTTTATTGGGTTGCACAACTGTAGAAAGTTAAAACTTCAAGAATTCTTTTTTCTTCCGTAAATGCTTTTAAAAGTATTTTCAACTCATTTCGAAATTACGAAGTTTGTTCAGAATTTGTATTGCACGAAAAAGAATCTTAAATATGGGTTACATACGTACATTGCACAGAGCAGAGTTTGGCAAATTTTAGTCACAAATAAGGAACAAAAATTTTAGATTTGTTCATAATCTTTTTTAATTTTGTTTCGACGGGACAAATATTTGGACATATGCGTGATTTTTATAATTCAAAATCAAAGATTTCTCTTTTTCATGAGCTACATCATTGCACTTATGAAAACATGTCATCCCATTGAAAAATATCATCGATCTTAAAATATTGGTTCCGTTCTTTTATTAGAATATTTTCCACTCTTGAACAAGTAATGAGCTCCTTTGACTGTTTGTTTATATCTTCAAAGGAATTGAGAGTATTCAAGTAATTACCTAGCGTATTGAAGCTGCTGATAAATTCTGTCTTTCAGCTTCTCGTTCAGAAGCGGTGTAAGGTTTCATTGCTCTACGTAATTTTTCAATGTGTATTAATATCTTAACTAATAACTGAATTATATCGTATACTCTTTTCGCAAAGAAATGAATAACTTTACCGTCACCTTTGACCCCCATTGCAAGCGAAGCCTTTCAGAGTTGAATGCCACATCCGGTAACGAGCGACGCAAACTGAAAACTAAACTAAACGCGACCCGGCTGTAGAGCTTTCGGTATCTAAGGTTGTTGCGCAACCTTCGTCGATTTATCGGGCGAAAGACCAACGGTGTCTGCAGCTGCAACGACAGCCTCGATAAACTGCGCATTGTCATTCCAACGAACGAACCTTCCATATATTTTTACGGATATTATCTATTCCCGATTTCGTTTTTGAATTTTTATAACACGCCAAAAGGATTATACCTGCAACGGGCTACGCCAAGAGTTTACAGATGTTACTAAGGTGGCCCATTATTCTATTATTTGTCACGAATACAAATATTTCTCCCTATGACATTTTATCAATTTTAGAACAATCGTGTTAAGAAATAATATTTTATATGAAAATACCAGTTTTCTGTAGACAAATTTTGCTTCGATCACACTTTGTTGCGGTACTCGATCGCGAGACGAAAGAATCGTACTAATTTGCGAGATGTTATAAATTTCGAACGATCGTTCTCCTTCGCGCTGCTGATTGGGGGGTGGGGGAATCACGGTCGAACGATTAGCGAACGATAACCAATGAACGGGCCCTAATGCCTCGGCGCAGCCCGTAAACCGATCGATCATCTGCAACCAATCAGATTCCACGTAACCGGTGCTTGACCAAACAAATTATTTCCTGCCGATTAGAGCCCGCGCTCGTTCTCGCGGCATCATCCGGCGGTTCTGATACAGTCGAGATCGATTCGATTAAATTCCACGGGAATCGCGAATCGCGTTCGAGGTTTTCGTCCTGTCATTCCAAACAATTTCCTTCGTGGCCGGGCGCACGGCACCGTTGCTGATGTAATGTCATCGAATGTCTCGCGGGGAAGAGTTATGCCTCGTTTAACGTCGAACGAGCCAACTATTAGCTACACAATGCACGTCACGAATTGACCGTAACTGTCGTCATTAACAACGCGCGTCCTTCTTTCGGCTAATTGTCGCCCGTTGGACGTTTGCAAAGCGCGATTGGAAGCGTTGGAAAACGAGTTCTATGTCATTCCACGCTCTAGTTTCGATTCCGTTCGATAGTCCGTCGTCAACCGTACACAGCCCTGGGTATTCAAACTTTTCAAAAAGTTCTAACGGGGAAAAATAGTCATTTGGCAAAGCAAAACATTTTTTTCAAATGCCAGTGCTGAATGAGTTTCTATTAATTCGGAAAATATTTTATTTTTAAAAAAAATCTTTTGATTAACCGTACCGTTCTCCATTCCCTTTTATATTCAACCTCTTGTTAGTAGATATCTCTTTAAACCTCAGACGCCCAATTTTAGAAAATACTGTGATTACAAGGTATAGGGTTTAATAGAAGTCATTGACAGTGGAAGGTTTGGCAAAGAACAGAGTGTTTTAAAGTTGTATAATCACATTTTGCCAGTAAAAAAATTGATTTTGTGCTCGGAACGACTCTCCAGAATGTCTGCTAAATCCAATTATAACTATCAACCCCTAAAGTTGGTATCGACGGTTTGTTAACGCCCTGTGCTCTTATTAGCAGACCGTTGCAATATTTCTCCGTGAACCGTCGATGTTTGAAAAATAGCGCGTGGCTATTTAACCGAAAACCGAACGACCGATAGCTCCCGTTCTTTCTCCACCGTCCCGTTTGCGTTCCGTTCGACGAACCCTCGTTCTAGAATTTCACTGCACACATACCGATCGCACGGTGCCTCGCGTTACAAGGTTTCCGGATCGCCGAAGCCGGGACGCGTTGGTCAACGCGCGAATAGGACAGAATACGAACGAATCGGATCGGAAGCGGCGTCGATCGACAACTCGGGTTGCGTTGTTCCTGTATACCTTCGGGATCCCTGTGTGTCATCGGCGCCAGGAGCTGTCGCCTCGAGACCACAAGCAGCGCGTTCGACAGCGCACGTGACGCTGAGTGGCACGCGAACAAACCGGCCCGATCGTTTCCTGAAGAGTGCTAGGCTCCAGATGGAGGTCTACCGAGACACTGACGACCACTCTCGCTACGAGGACATTCCCCGATTCTCAGGTAACCGGCGAAACAGAAACAGAGGGGCGGATAGACAGAGAAAGAGAAAGAAAGGATTGTGCCGTTCCCGATCTTGCCTTTTACTCTTTCTCGATCGCGCCTTTCAGTCTCGTGGCCTCTCCTTCTCGCCAGAGTCTCCCGCTCGCGACAGCTTTTCACGATTTTCTCCTTTCTCCCTCCCGCAGCAACGATTCCGCGACTGTGACATACGGGAGAGGGAGAGAGAGAGAGAGAAAGCAATGGGTTCTGTGAATGATTCTGCGGAGAATAACGCGGTTGGGAATTCTAACGAGCAATTTGATTACATTACTTATGGATAAACGAGGTTTTCATGATAGAGATTGAAACGCGACGAATGAAAAATTTTCTTGGAACTGGTTGGTTTTTAGTGGTACTGGACCCATTTTAAATAAAAATTAAATATTTTTTGTTTAAAACAGTTTCAGTACCAGTGGAAACCAACCAGCTTTAAGAAGAGTTTTCGTTTGTTGCGTTCTGATCTCAATGATGAATCCTCAACTATAGTTATTAAGTTTATAGGTAATTCAAAATGAATTAAAAAAATATTGTCGTATAGTTTAAGGGTCTCTCTTCATAAATGTATTTTCCGTTTCTCTATATGTAGAACCTCGATTGCTGCATTTACATGTTTACAACAAACGTAGGATAAATTTCTCAAAACGTTTAAATTCATAAATATTATATTTATAACAAAGTTAGACGCAATTTAACTGTCAATCATCGTGAGTGATTTACTGTTAATTGAATTGTCGTTATTTTGTTAAACGTTATTTTGATTAAATTTTGCCCAATATTGACCTGGACTGATGGATACGGTACTCAATCACAAATTTGTCTAAATTCAAACATCAAGGAAATTTAATAATCTACGTTAGTTTAGGTTCCATTAGTGCATTAATTTGCAGTATTTGCAATAAACTCTTCGAGTCATCGTCAATAAAATGCCACAACTGTAAAGTAAAAATCAAATGTTATACAATATAGAAAATCGTAAAAGTAAAAGAATCCTTATTCTGAACGATGTCAACTTTAATGTAGATTAATGATTGCCGTGTTTTTGTATTTTAGATAATCACAGGATTTGATAGATTACTTCAAAGAAATAAATAAAAACTTCATCAGCTTAGGTATCGGTCTCAAAAGAAATTTTATTTCTTAACCCGTCACTTCAGCATAACCCCTTAACCCTTGCATGACTAAGCGTTCTCGTCGTATGCAATAACCTTTGAAGTATATGCGTGTGGAACTTCTACTACTCGAGAAGTAAATGGTTAAACTTTGGAGGGCTTATTGTGCTTATCTCGAGAATAAAAAAATTCACATTAAAATTTCAAGAAATCAACTATATATTTATATAAATCAACGTTTGTTCCTTTTTTAAATTTATTGTGTCTTCAACAAAAAGCAATATTATAATCTGATCTATAGTGCAAACTTTTATATCATCGAATTTGTATGAATGGAAAGGAGCACTTGGTATGAGACTGCTCAAAATTATTTATGAATTTGTTCTTACACTACTAAGGACGTGTATATTACAAATTTTAAAATAGGGGTCCTTTCGTTGTAATAATAAAATTGTTATCGTTTATGAAACTCTACTACTAATACGTTTTCTTCCGAAATCGAAAGATTCATAAGTTTGAATAGTAGTAGATCGTTTCGTTCCAAAGTATCGGTTTCGAAATATCTCGACGGAAAATTCATCAAACGTGTAATTGAGATCTCTATCGAATTGCACTGGGCTTGTTACTTAATTGCACGACGGATTTCTTGGGATTGCGAAAACGTCTGTGTCAACTGTTTGGATCAGTAAGTTTGTGAGCGTTCTACAAAGGATTATGATTGGGCGGGGCACTGGATTAAGATGTCGCGTTGCATTTGCATCGGTTGCAAGCGTATCGATAGAATTATCGAGCCGCGTCAACTATGGAACGCGGAATAATAAATTATAACGAGAAAGTCGATGTCGCAAAATTGTTTGGAATTAATGCTTGCGCCGGGACCGCATAAATAACTTGCAAACTAAGAGACGACCTTTGCAATTATTTCCATTTACACAATCCTGAATCGCCGAAGGGAACAACCTTTTTGCGAACCAGTCACATTCCCGCCACAAGATGACCTGGAATTCTATACCTTCGCTAGAATACAACTCGTCGCGTTATGTCAACAAGAAATCGCAGAGGAATGTTCTCTAAACACTTTGTTTAACCGTGAATCTAAAATTATTGTATTTAAATAAGCCGAGAGGAGGCGCATTCGATCTGATGAAACGATACGCATCGATATTTATTTAACGCTGATTAAATAAACGATCCGGTTAATTGAAACGAAACCCAGAAACTGGTTTCGCTTTCAATAAATCAAGATCACGCGGAGCCGCTTTCTTCGAGCGGGAACCTACTTATGCGTGCGCTGGCCACGTACAAGTCGCTGTACCTGCTCCCTCGCAAAAGTTCAATTACGCGAGTACCGCTTCGTCATAAGCATACTCATTTCGCGTACAGCTATGTGCACGCGGCCAAGTGCTCGGTTCTAAACTGTAAATTACAAAGCGACCGCGACAATTAACGGAACGAGACAACTGCGGGAGTAGTTACACTGCTAGGCCTATTAGCCTGACACTGTACCTGCGGAACACCTGACAACCACTCGCTTCAAGTACGAGCATACTTAGCTCACCTGAGATTGCTATTAACTTCGTCAACTATTGTGCAGTATTTACGTTTTAGACCAAAGAGGAATTCTAGTTGTCGTTGGAGACTTTTTAGATGATATTGTATTTGGAATGTAGGACGCGATGAACTGAAACAGGTTCTAGAGTATTAGTCACTCTTATAAACAACAACGTCAAATAACTAAATTTGAAAGATGGCGGATTAATTTCACTTTCGTTCTGAATTGTATTATAGATCTCGACACAACGAACGTTTAGACAAAATA